TTATCTCCTGTTAATTCCCCTCTCCAAGTTCTCCACTGACTTAACCGGGTATTGAACTCACACTCTTTGGATCCTGTCACCGGATCTAACTAACGCCTTTATCCACTGTGTCCTTGAAGACATCTTTGTATGAATTTCTGAGTATTATAAGCCTAATGTCTTCAGCAACCATATTTTATCAGTGCTCATATTTCAATTATTTGCTGTTATCAATTTATGTTTTTACCAGAGCTCACATTGCAATTTTTGTTGTTATTATCGCTTTTCTCTGGCACTCCTTATTACTGGTTCTCATATTGTATTCATTTCTATGCTTGGTCGGCTCAGGAGATTTTTTGGCCTAGCATATGTGCTGATTCCTTAAGTTTACGAATTTTCCAATGGTGTTCCTTTGTTTATGATCTCAAGTTCCACGTGCCATGTTTAATGGTTGTCAGTTATCTCCTGTTAATTCCTCTCTCCAAGTTCTCCACTGCCTTAACCGGGTATCACTGTCTTTGGGTCCTGTCACTGGATCTAACTAACGCCTTTATCCACTGTGCAATGTGTCCTTGAAAATAGTGTACATAATACCTCATCTCAGAAATATAGACAGATACTATTTACGTAAATCGTCAATAGTCGAATTAATCACTTTTTAAATGATGCAGAATTAAAACGAAAAGCACCCTTCAGATATAAAAGTTATCTTCCTTTAATGTTCTAACTGCTGTTTTTTTTCTGTTAAAGTGGACCATTTGACGAAAAGTAAAAAATCGATTTAACGCTTTTAATGCAGCCAATTTCTTGGTTAATGACATTGGCTGTTCTGGTTGCCTCTCCGACGAAAAGTGTGGCCATTTCATTTACCTGTCCTGAGTCCAGATGAGAATTTTTTGAACATGGTTGAGAGATGTATTCGTACGCGAACTCTTGTCTCAATAAATATATGGTCGCCGTGGACAGCGACAGGGCTCAACATCTCTACAGAGGACTTCGAACAACATTCAGAATCGATATCACATCGAATGGCTGGAAACTGACGAACTAGGATTATTGGCTACCATTTCCCGTGACTATGGCTCATTAGTGGGTATATAATATATAGGTTTGCCTGATACGTCAACTTTTGTTGGTTTATTCAATGAGTAATATTGTACTGGGTGATAATTAGTAAGTCATTATGACTAAGCTCGTTAAGCATTACCCGACGCCTCGGCGTCTAACATACGTTACGTACATTTCTAAAAGTAAAATAATACATTTTGTATATTTGTGAAATAAAATCTATTCCAATGCATACGTTTAATAAAACATGGGACAATGCATTCCTAAAATAGAAATCATTCAAATGTATTCGCATTGCAGCAACTATTTTCAATGTATTCCTTTAGTTAAAATCATTTCCAGTGCTTTCTTATAGTAAAAAATCATCTTATAATTAATTTTTATAGTAAAATAATTTCCAATATATTTTTATAGTAAAAATCATGTTCCTCTGTTTTCTATAGTAAAAATCATTTATCAAAGCATTCCTAAAAATATTTTAAAAAAATTCCTTTGTAAAAATCAAAATATATTCTTAAATAAAAAACAAAATGCATTTTATAGCAAAAATCTTTATCCTATAGAAAAACACATTTTCAATGCAATAAAAATATTTTTAAACTATAAAAAATCATTTTCCAATGCATTCTTATAGCAAAAAATAATTTCCAATGACGTCATGTAGCGAAAACACTTTTCCAATGCATTCCTATAGTAAAAATCATTTTGCAATGCATTCCTATAGAAAAATCATTTTCCAATGCATTCCTATAGTAAAAACCATTTTCCAAAGCATTTCTATAGCAGAAATTCTTTTCCAATGCATTCCTATAGTAAAAATAGTTTTCCAGTGCATTTTTATAATAAATTTTTCCAATGTATTCCTAAAGTAAAAATCATTTTCCAATTGCATTCCTACAGTAAAAATTATTTTGCAATGCATTCCTAAGACAAAAATATTTTTCCAATAAATTCCTATAGTAAAAATCATTTTCGTATGCATTTTTCTACAGAAAATCATTTTCCAGTATATTCCTAGAGTAAAAAAATTTCCAATCTTTCTTTCCTATAGTAAAAATCATTTTCCAATTGATTTTTAGTAAAAAATCATTTTGCAATGGATTCTATAGTAAAATCATTTTCAGTATCATTCCTATAGTAAAAAATCATTTTCCAATTCATTCCTATAGTAAAAATCATTTTCCAATTCATTCCGATAGTAAAAATCATTTTCCAATTCATTCCTATAGTAAAAATCATTTTCCAATTCATTCCTATAGTAAAAATCATTTTGCAATGCATTCCTATAGTAAAAATCATTTTCCAATTCATTCCTATAGTAAAAATCATTTTTTCCTCCTGCATTCCTATAGTAAAAATCATTTTGCAATGCATTCCTATAGTAAAAATTTTCAATTCATTCCTATAGTAAAATCATTTTGCAATGCATTCCTATAGTAAAAATCATTTTGCAATTCATTCCTATAGTAAAAATCATTTTCCAATTCATTCCTATCCTATAGTAAAAAATCATTTTCCAAAGCATTCCTATAGTAAAAAAATTCCATGGTAAAAATCATTTTCAATTCATTCCTATAGTAAAAATCATTTTCCAATTCATTCCAAATAGTAAAAATCATTTTCCAATTCATTCCTATAGTAAAATCATTTTCCAATTCATTCCTATAGTAAAAATCATTTTCCAAAGCATTTTCAATTCATTTTCCAATTCATTCCTATAGTAAAAATCATTTTCCAATGCATTCCTATAGTAAAAATCATTTTGCAATGGATTCCTATAGTAAAAACCATTTTCCAATTCATTCCTATAGTAAAAATCATTTTCAAAGCATTTCTATAGTAAAACATTTTCAATTCATTCCTATAGTAAAAAATTTTCCTATTCATTTTGTAAAATCATTTTCATTCCTATAGTAAAATCATTTTCTAATATATTCCTATAGTAAAAAAAAATTCCAGTGCTTTCTGATAGCAAAAAGAATTTTCCAATGACGTTATGTAATAAAAATCCTTTTCTAATTCATTCCTATAGCAAAAATCATTTTCCAGTGCATTCCTATAGTAAAAATTTTTTTTCAATGCATTCTATAGTAAAAATCTTTTTTTCACTACATTCCTACAGTAGAAATCATATTCCAATGCATTTCGATAGTAAAACTTCTTTTCCAATGCATTTCTATTGTAAAAATCTTCTCCAATGCATTCGTATAGTAAAAATCATATTCCTATACATTTCCTATAGTAAAATCGTTTTTGATACATTCCTATAGTAAAAAATAATTTCCAATGCTTATTTATAGCAAAAAGAATTTTCCAATGCTGTTATGTAGTAAAAATTAGGCAGAAGTCATTCTTAAATTAAAATTATTTTCCAAACATAATTTTAAATAAAATTCATAAAATTTCATTTACAACAAATTTCTACAGTAGAAATAATATTTCAATTGATCTCTACAACAACAAAAATAATTTCAAATGGTCACTTTCCCTAAAATAATCCTTGCTATGTTGGCTATTTTTGCTGTCATTAAAATGTAAATTAATGCTTTTTAATCAATTCACCACAAGGAAGGCAATAATGCCACTAAGACGTATGAGGATACTGGGGTGATAGGGAACGACGAGAGGGAACGGGAAACCCAAAACCTAACAAGAAACATCTTATCCTGTTCAAAAGACAAGGGAGAAGTGTGAGCAGGGAATAGATGAAAACTTTTGAAGTGTTTGTGTAATAAATTCTACCCACATTATGTATTGAGTAAACTGATCGCTTGAGTAATTGTTATAATTATTTTTCACTATTTACATATTTCGGACTATTCTCCTCATCTTTGTCGCCATATTTGTTACAACGTTTCGGCCGTTGTACGCTCCTGCCTTCTTCAGGTGGTTGGAATGTCGAACTGAACCCTTTATTTCGCTCACTGGGGTAGAGTGTTCTAGTTTCACGTGGCATGTTTAACGGATGTCAGTTATCAGTTATCTCCTGTTAATTTCCCTCTGAAAGTTCTTTACTGCCTTAACCAGGTATTGAACTCACAGTCTTTGGATCCTGTCACTGGATCTAACTAACGCCTTTATCCATGTGTCCTTGAGGACACCTGTGTATAAATTTCTATGTATTATAAACCTAATGTCTTCAGCAACAATATTTTCTCAGTGCTCATATTGCAATTTTTTGCTGTTATCAATTTATGTTTTACTCATATTAGAATTTTTGTTGTTATTATCGCTTTTCTCTGGCACTCGTTATTACTGGTTCTCATATTGTATTCATTTCTATGCTTGGTCGGCTCAGGAGATTTTTGTGGCCTAGCATATGTGCTGATTCCTTAAGTTTACCAATTTTCCAATGGTATTCTCTGTCTATGATCTCAACCTAACGGCCGAAACGTTGTAATAAATATGGCAACAAAGATAAGGACAATAGTCCGAATAATATAAATAGTGTGCATAATACCTCATCTCAGAAATATAGTCAGATACTGAAGGGCCAAAACGTTGTAATAAATATGGCAACAAAGATGAGGACAATAATCCGAATAATGTAAATAGTGTACATAATACCTCATCTCAGAAATATAGTCAGATACTGAAGGGCCGAAACGTTGTGATAAATATGGCGACAATGATGAGGACAATAGTCCGAATAATGTAAATAGTGTACATAATACCTCATCTCAGAAATATAGACATAATTATTTTTATCAGTAAATCGACTATTAATGCATCTTTTTCTATTCTTTTTCATAATTCCTGCTGTGGCGTGCTATTGGAAAACCAAACAACTGCTTGTGATTCCACCAAATGTAAATACTTTTCCAATGGAATGTTCCATCTTACGAATATACAAAAAAAAATGGCCCCCATTATCTTCGAATGGGGAAAAAAATCTGTACATATGTTTTTCTCGTCCTTTGAGTAGCTTTCGTAACTGCACCCACATCTCGGAGATGGAACACAGTGTTGAAATGCAATCCGGACCGGGTAAGGCCGGAACCCAGCCGACCAAAGACCAAAAGGAAACGGAAGTCCGAGTTCCCGCCAAAATTGACCTCAAGTCGGTTTTGGCGGGCTTTTCGTCGGCAAAGTCGAAGGCGGCGACAATCTCAACGACAACCGCTCTCAATGATGTCACATCGTCCTCGGGTTTGACAACGCCGTCAGCCTCGACAAAATCCCAACCAACACCACCACCACCACCACCATCAACGGCAACCACAACAACAACAACAACAACGTCTTTGTCAACAACAACAACAACAACATTATTATCATCATCATCATCATCATCTACTACTACAGCTACTACTGCAGCAGCTACTACTACAGCTACTACAACAACCGTATCATCTCTCACAGCTTCTAATGGCGCGGAGGACAAAAAGGAAAGTCAGAATGCTGATAGCGAGCCCAAAACGGAAGGACAGGAAGAACCGTTTGTCATGACACCCGCATACGAGCGCCTCGCTCGCCTGCTTGCCCGTAAGCGTGAAAACGCGACCGCTGCTGCTGCTACTTCAGCCATGGCCTCAGGATCCGGGGAAGGTGCTGGCGAAGCGGACGGCGAGGCGCTACCCCAACAGTCCCACTGGTCGAAGCTGCGAACCACGGTCCAGATAGCCAGTGTGGTGAAGCAACGTTCGAAACGTCGGTACAACCACCACAGGCAAGATTCGTTCTTGCGAAAATTTTCCACGCGGCATAACAGCAATCTAGATCCCGACTCGGACAGCGAGGACAACGAGGCGGTCACACAAGAAATGGAAAAAGAGGTAGAGCAGAAACGTCTCTACCGTTACGTGATAAGCCCCGAGGGTACGTTCATGATGTACTGGCTTCTGATACTTACCCTCGCCGTACTATACAACCTATGGACATGTATAGCGCGCGAGGCGTTTCGGGAAATCCAGCTGGAATATACAAGCTTCTGGATATCTTTTGACGTGATTTGTGACCTCATCTACCTGGGCGACATTGCAGTGCAATTCCGCACTGGTTACTTAGAGCAAGGCCTTCTGGTCTACGACTCGAAGAAACTCTCCAACAATTACATAACGTCTCCCGATTTCAAGTTAGACGTCACATGCCTCTTACCGCTCGATTTGATTCAATTGACCATCGGGTGGCATCCAATTCTTCGTTTCCCGCGTTTTCTAAAAATCTACCGGACATTCAGGTGCGTGCATATGCTAGAATCAAGGACTCCGTACCCGAATTTATTCCGGGTAGCTAATCTGACACATATCCTCTTCCTCGGGGCACACTGGTTTGCCGCCTTCTTTTACTTGATCTCCGAAGCAGAGAACTTTGCCGGGGCATGGACTTACCCAAAACCCGTCGGTGAGTTCGCCGGGGTTACGCGGAAGTACCTTTATTCTCTTTTTTGGTCAACACTGACATTAACCACAATTGGGGATTTACCACAACCTACCACAAACTGGGAGTAAGTAAATATATGTTTTTCTTTTATATATGTTTGTGTCTTTTGTTTACTGTATCTGAACTTTGTGTTTTTTTTGTAATATTGCAAAATCAAGTATTGCCGATTTGTCTTTCATTCTTTCTCATGTTTTTGATATTTCCTTTTAATATGTTATATTTGCCCTATCGTAATTATTCGTGTATAAAACGCACTTATGAGGATTGGGACATATCCATTAGTGTTCATATGTACCGTATATAACACTATCTATCTATCTATCTGATGTAACCAAGAAAAGGTTACTGAATGAGGAATAACCAAAGCGGAGGTTGGAAATGAAATGGTAATCTTTATATCATCAACAAAATACAATACTCGCCAGCGGCGTGAAGTACGTAAACCACTGCTAGGGGTGGGCAACTTAGACAGCATGTTACCCCCACTTACAATAGTATTTATGAGGATTGGAACATACCCATTAGTGTTCATAGGTACGTTATATAACACTATCTATCTATCTACCTATCTGATGTAACCTAGAAAGGTTTACTGAATGAGGAATAACCAAAACGGAGTTTGGAAATGAAATGGTAATCTTTATAACATCAACAAAAAACGATACTCGCCAACGTCGTGAACTAGGTAAACCACTGCTAGTTGTGGACTACGTAGACAGCATATAGCCCCTAACTTGCAATAATGTCCAACGTATGAGGATTGGGACATACCCATTAGTGTTCATAGGTACGGTATATAACAGTATTATACACGTGTGCGTATTATAAAACAACTAATGTAGGTTACCCAGATCGATAAACACTTGAAGAAGGCCAGAGGGCACAACGGCTGAAATTTGTTATAACAACAAAGATGGGGATAATAGTCTGAATATTCATTATGCCTCTTAATTCCTTGGGGAGCAAGGGGCCCACAACAACACCTCTCCAACAGACGCGGTTCCGGGCTACCCTCTTCAGCTTGGCCCATGTCTTGCCGGCTGCCTTCACCTCCGTGTCAACATTTCTGCGCCAAGTCTCTTTTGGTCGACCCACTTTTCGCTTGCCTTCTGGATTCCACTCATGGGCCTACCTGGTGACACGAGAAGCAGGCTTTCGGGGTGTGTCCGATCCATTCCCACTTCCTTTTCTTGATATCAATCTCGATTGGAGCTTGTCTGGTCCTGTCCCGCAGTTGGTCGTTGGAGACGACTTCCGGTCACCTGATATTGAGGATGAACATCTCCTGTCAATACCTCAATCAATCCAATAAATAATTATTATATCTCTAGTTTTCCTTGCGGGATATAGGCCGCAACAGCACCTCTCTAACAGACGCGGTTCCAGGCGATCCTGTTCAGCTCGGCCCATGTCGTCCGGCTGCCTTCACGACTGCGTCAAAACTCCTGCGCCATGTCTGTTTTGGTCGACCCACTTTTCGCTTTCCTTCTGGATTCCACTCAAGGGCCTGCCTGGTGACACTAGAAGCGGACTCGCATTGTGTGTGGCAGATCCATCACCATTTTCCGTTTCTCTCTTGCATCTTGATTCCTTGGGGAATATAGGGCTACAGCAACATTTCTACGGAAGCGCTTTCGGGCAGTCCTCTTCAGTTCGGCCCATGTCGTGTCGGCTGCCTTCACCACGGCGTCAACACTTCTGCGCCAAGTCTGTTTTGGTCGATACACTTTTAGCTTCCCTTGTAGATTCCGCTCAAGGGCCTGCCTGGTGTTACAAGATAACGGAGTGTGTGGCCAATCCATCCCCATTTCCGTTTCTTGATGTCAATCTCGATTGGGGCTTATGTGGTCCTCTCCCACAGTTGGAGACGACTTCTGGCCACCTGATATTGAGGATGAACATCTCCTGCCAATATCTCAATCAATCCAATAAAAAAAAACAATAAAGACGTTTTCTTATCTTATCTTATCTTATTATGACTCTTGATTCTTTGGGGAACATAGGGCCGCAACAACACATCTCTAACAGACGCGGTTCTGAGCGATCTTCTTCAGCTCGGCCAATGTTGAGCCGTCTGCCTTCCCGGGGGATTTTCACTAGGACGCGTCATACGCTCCACTTTGGAGTACTCTTCACCGGCCATATCTTTGTTTGAAGATATCGTTGAGGTTTCTGTAACAAGCTAGTTTTTAACTGAGTAGGTTGTTAGCCTACTGCACAAACCCCAATCTGGAAAACCAGGATTTTGTCTTTTTCCCTACCCTACAGACCTTTAAAGCTTGGTTGAACCTACTAAGGACCGAAGCCCCGCCCACATAGCTCTTGGGGTCGTTGAAGCACACAAGCCATTCTACCACGTCAAGGCGACACACCATCAGGTCGGAAGTTCGAATTTAAATAGCGTAAATTCAGTGTTTGTTTAAACATTTAGTTACACTTAGTTTTTCCGGCCATAAAGCAAATTTAATTTCGATCATACTCGCCAAAATATGGCGACCCACTTGAACAGAAAAAAAATGTTAATATTTATATATCGTGTATAGTACGCATGTCTAATTAAAAATAAGGTTTTCAAATCTGTGAAAAAGTGCGTCTTATACACAAATAATTATGGTGTTTCTTTTTATTTTAACATGTTTTTTTTTTTTTTTTTTTGATTTATGTCAAAATTTTTTTTCTTTTCTTTTTCTTTTTTTGAATTTCTTTCATTTTGGTTTATTTAATCACTTGGGAGCGAGAAAATATTTGTTTTTATGATGCACTACAGACAAAATATCTCGCCAGCTGCTTCAGCACGCCTTCATCATCAACGAATTGTTCGGAAACGCTATCAGGTTCAATGACAAAGAATAGCGATTCAATATTTTATTTTATTTTTTTTTTTTTTTTACCAAAGAAGGAAGACTGTTAACAAAAGAAGTGCTTGAGATAATATCTCGCCAGCTGCTTCCAGCGCTGCCATTATCTGCAAATTGTTATGAATCATTGTTCGATGCACTTATAGAATACGAAAAACGATGAGAAGTCTTTTGCTTCACTTTTGTTTCGTTTCGTTTTTTTTTTTTGCAAATTGCTTTTGTTTCGTTTCGTTTTTTTTTTTTTTTTTTTGCTTTTTGTTTCGTTTCGTTTTTTTTTTTTTTTTGCTTCGTTTTTGTTTTGTTTTTTTTTTTTTTTTTTGCTTCGCTTTTGTTTCGTTTCGTTTTTTTTTTTTTTTTGCTTCGCTTTTGTTTCGTTTCGTTTTTTTTTTTTTTGCTTTTTGTTTCGTTTTTTTTTTTTTTTTCCTTTTGTTTTTGTTTCGTTTTTTTTTTTTTTTTGCTTTTTTTTTGTTTCGTTTCGTTTTTTTTTTTTTTTTTTTCGCTTTTTGTTTTGTTTCATTTTTTTTTTTTTTGCTTCGCTTTTGTTTCGTTTTTTTTTTTTTTTTTTTTTCTTGCTTTTGTTTGTTTTTTTTTTTTTTGCTTCGCTTTTTTTTTTTTTTCGTTTTTTTTTTTTGTTTCGCTTTTTTTCGTTTCGTTTTTTTTTTTTTTTCGCTTTTTTTTTTCGTTTTTTTTTTTTTTTTTTTTTGCTTCGTTTCGTTTTTTTTTTTTTTTTTTTTTTTGTTTTTTTTTTTTTTTTTTTTGCTTCGCTTTTTTTTCGGTTTTTTTTTTGCTTTTTTGTTTCGTTTCGGGGTTTTTGTTTTTTTTTTTTTTTCGCTTTTGTTTTTTCGTTTTTTTTTTTTTTTGCTTTTTTTTTCGTTTCGTTTTTGTTTTGTTTTTTTGCTTCGCTTTTGTTTCGTTTTTTCTTTTCTTTGAATTTGTTTCTTTTTTTTTTTTTTCTTTGATTTTGTTTGTTTTTTGGGGGTTTTCTTTTTAGTTTTTTTTGGTTTTCTTTTAGTTTTTTTGTTTTTTGTTTGTTTTTTTGTTTGTTTTTTGGGGAGGCGGGGTTTGTTATTTTTTCGTTTTTTTTTTTTTGTTTGTTTTTTTTTTTCTGTGATATCGAGTCGGAATTTTCGGAGCAAAGATTTTTGTTAAAATGTCCGACGCTCCCAGTTGATTAACTTGCGAAATGTTTGCATTTAGAAACAAGTTTTGCTTTTCTCTTTTTTAAGTTTTTCAACACTGTATAAATCACGGTTGTATTCTGTCATTTTTATTTTTCAGGTATATATATATATATATATATATATATATATATATATATATATATATATATATATATATATATATATATAAGCATGGGTATATATATATATATATATATATATATATATATATATATTTATATATATATTATGTCTACTTATTTTTAATTTAATCCTCTATTTTCCCAAGTACTTTCAAACTCATCTAAGATCATTTTCAGGAGTCAATTGTTTCGAAAAAAAATGAATGTAATCGGTGGTTTAGAATTTTTAACATTAAATTAAATCAATTCACCTCTGAAGATGATCTCGGATATGATTGAAACTACTTGTGAATTTAGAGGATTAAATAGAAATAAATAGACATACTATGTCCAGATTACTCAACAAAACATGTCTGAATAAAGATATGCTGCCTACATACGTATATGAATATGATAAAAAAACATACGTATAAGTACATATACTTACACCTACGTATTCAGTTATAAAACAGTGCTCAATGTTATATAACATATATATATATATATATATATATATATATATATATATATATATATATATATATATATATATATATAGGGAATATACATAATATCAAACGTCGATAACATGACTCGGGGTTTCATGCAAACTCGTAATTTTCAGCTGCTAAATACTCAGTGGGTACTTTTACACCTGAAGATTGCGCATTTTCATGAAACTTCGAGTCGTGCTATCAACGTGAGATATTATGTATAATAATATATATATATATATATATATATATATATATATATATAAAAACAAACACTACAATTTCATGAGGCTACATTTATTTCATTATGGCCTCAATTCATCAAATCTGAAAGCAATTTGAGGGTCTGATGAATTGGGGCCGTTTTACGACCCTAATGAAATAAGTATAACCTAATTAAATTTTAGTGTTTGTACCTTTTATAATAATAATAA